GAGGAGGAGGAGGAGGAGGGTGGGCGGAGGAGTGGAAGAGGGGAAAGAGGAGGGCGGCCGCGGAGGCCGAGGAGGGGAAGAGGCCCGAACTGCCGAGAGTGTGCAGGGTGGGAGCGCGCAGGGGGCCTCAGCCACCGGAAACCGGTGTATAGTGCGAGGGTGGTGCGCGCTGTCCTACACATTCACACACATACACACACACACACACACACACACATTCAGCCATGCGCGGAGGGGGTCAGGGGCCCAGACATCGGGCGTCTCGAAAAAATCGAGACGGAGGTTTTTCGTTGTTTTCGGCCTCTCGGGGCCCTCGCCGGGCCTCGGGACCGTCAGAAAACGGCTCGGGACGGAAAACCGGTCCCGGGGAAGTGGTCGGGAGTTCGGGGGCCCGCGTCTCGAAAAAGTCGAGACGTCGGATGTCTGGGGGGTGGGGGGGGGGGGGCAGGCTCCTTCGAAGCACCCCTGCTCCTCTCGGAAGGCGCGGGCCTCGTCTGCAGATGAAGGAAGGGGCCAGCGCCGCCCGAGGAGCAGCCTCCTAAGCAGCCCTCCCCCGCCTCCCTGCCCTCTTGCGCGCGCCGTCGGCCCACACAAGTGGGGCCCCCTCCACACGCTCTTGGCGTCGCCGCCGCGCGGCGGCGGCGGGCCGGCCGCGGAGAGCGGGGAGGCGGCCGCGCAGAGGGCGGGCCGGGCGGAGCGGCAGCGGGGCGCGCGGGGTGCACGCGCGGGGCGCCTCGCTGCACGGCTCGCGGCGGGGGCGGCTCGCGGTGGGGGCGGGCGGCTCGCGGTGGGGGGGGGGTAAAACGACGCGAAGATCGGGACAAACTCGGATCGGGATCACTCGAAATCTCTGAGAATCGGCGGGTTTGGAGGATGTATTGGGCACCGCGGCCGCTCCAGAGCGTTCCGGAACGCTCTGAGAGCGCTCCAGAACTCTCTGGAGCGATTTATCCCGATCCTAGCCTTGTTTTTTTGGGGGGGGGGGCAGGAGCAGAAATGGAGGTGTCCAGGCAGCACACGGCACACGTGCACACGGACGCACCTACACACAGGCCTCCAAGCATGTGAGACCCCCTTACCCGCACACACACACACACACACACGGACTCCGTACGCATGAGTTGCCCGCACACTTTCTCCGACGCGCCAGTGAGTCAAACCAGCGGATGCACGATGGGGAGCATGCGGTCGAAAGAAAAAGGAAGAAGGAGCAGGAGGAGAGGGAGGAGGGAGGCGGAGGAGGCGGAGGAGGAGGAGGAAGAGGAAGAGGGAGGGAGAAAGAAGGAACGGGGAGGAGGGAAGCGAGAACGAGGAGGAGAGATGAGGGGGTGGAGCGGGGTAGGAGGGGGAGGGGGAGGGAGGAGGTTGAAAGGCAGAAAGGCCTGGAGGAGCAGGAGGAGCAGGAGGAGTACGAGAGGGAAGGATGGCAGCTTCAGGCCAGGCAGGGGGGAGGAGAGATGGGGCCTCCCCTGGCTGAGGACGTGCACGCTCCTGAGGCAAGCAGCACGCCCCTCAGCCTGGCGCGCAAGATGGGGCACGCAGAGGTCGACGAGGAGGAGGAGGAGGAGGAGGAGGAGGAGGAGGAGGAGGAGGAGGAGGAGGAGGAGGAGTGGACGAAGGAGTACAGAGAAGCGAGGAGGGAGGAGGGGGAGGAGGGAGGCGTCGGGGAAGGAGAGGGTGGAGGGGAGGGTGGAGGAAGGATGATACGGACGGAGAAGGAGAATAAGACGGAGAGGAGAGGGAGGAAGAAGGAGCCGAAGGAATACAGAGGAGAATGAGGAGGACATGGGGGAGGAAGAGGAGACAAAGGTGGAGAGGTAGAAAGAAGCGGCAGGACGAGGAGGGGAAGGGGAGTGGTGGAAGAATGCTGAGGATGGGGAAAAGAGAGAATGGAGAGAGAAAGAGAGAGAGAGAGGAGGAAGCAGTCGGACTGACCAAGTGGAGGGGCAGGAGAAAGAGGAGGCGGAGAAAGCAGGTTCGGAGAAGGAGCAAGAGGAGGCAGAGCAGGAGGAGGGAGGAGGAATGAAGAGAGGCGAGAAGGGAGGAAGGGGAGGAGTGTGAGGAAGAGGAGAGGAGATGAGCAGGGTGGAAGAGAGAGAGAGAGGGAGGTTGAGAGGAGGGAGCTTGAGGAAGAGCACGAGCAGGAGCAGGAGCTGGAGCATGAGGAGGAGCAGGAGGGCGAGGAGGGCGAGGAGGGGGATGGGGAGGGGGTGCAGGAGACGGATGTCAATGAGGAGGAGGAGGAGGAGGAGCAGGAGGAGGAGAAGGAGGAGGACGAGGAGTTAGAGGAGGGGGCGGGCGTAGGTCGAGGAGATTCTAGAGCGCCACGTGGCCATGCTCATCACGGCCGAGGGTGACGAGGAGCTTGTCGTCGGTGTCTTCTTTCCTCGTTTTCCCCTGCTCATACTTCCTCTTGTGTACCACCCCTTCTCTGCGTCATCCATGCCTCCCCCCCGTAATCCAACTCCTTCTCCCCCACCATCATGGGAAGCAAACTGCTCCGAAGCATGCCCGCCCAGAGCGCAGCCCAGAGCGAAAGCTGGCTACCCTGCGCCTCGTGCGCACGGTGCCCGGCAGCCGACTGCAGCGACCCTTTCTCCTCGCCCAGGGCCTCCCTCTCTCTCCCCCGCCCCCCGGAGGTGAAAGCGTCGGCTGGCCCCGCGGGGGCTGGCCTGCTCTCTCCGCCTCCCCTGCCTGCCTCGTCCCCGCTCACCCCCGAATGCTCGAGCTCCAGAGGTGGACACACTGTCGGGCTGAGGATGCAGTAAGCTCAGCCGCCTCCATTCCCACACTCTCGTCCCATCGGAGTTGCACCTCGGGGCAAGATGCGTCCTCTTCGTTGATTGCTCGGACGGCCCGGCGATCGATGGTTGGACGGCCCGTGCTATGTCTTCGTCTCTACACTGTTCTTCCTCCCCTCTCCCTGCCGCTGCCGCTTCTCCACCTGCCACCGCGATAACTTCCGTGGACCGCTCCGAGTGGAGAGTCGCTCATGGGAGGGTTCTGAGTGCACGAGCGTGGCCCCTCTCTCCTCCCTCCTTCTTGTTCTCCGCCGCATTCCTCTCCTGCTTCACCTCCCTCCTACTCCATGTTGGGTTAGATGTATTGCTCTAGTCGCCCAGGTCGTTCCATACGGGGCTGTTGCACAGGCTGATGGCAGGCCATGGGATATTACGGGGTTGAGATACTCGGATGGTTCATCATCTGGTTTCCCGTGGATTCTTTCTTTCGCGATTGGCGTTGCTTTATTGTGTGGCTTGGGCCAAGGTTTCAAGCATCCAATGTTTTTTTGTGCCACGCATGCCTTTGCTGCTTGCTGAGAAACACAGCAGTTCGAAGGACACACACCAAAGTATTGCGCCTCATGCGTGTCGGCGGCCTGATGCGGAAGGTCGATTCCACGTCATCGGATCGGATCCTGTCATGATTCCCCATATCCGAAGTGGGGTTCTTGTGTTCTCTGCACACCCTGCGCGGAGTCTTAGAACACCTCACTTCACACCCCTTCTCCTCCTCACCATCAGCCATGGGTCAATGAGCGCCCTGGGGACGGAAAGTCTATTCCACGTCATCCGATCGGATCCTATCATGATTCCCCGTGTGCTTCTTGTGTTTTCTGCACACCCCGCGCGGAGTCTTCACGCACCTCACTTCACACCCCTTCTCCTCCTCACCATCCGCCACAGGGCCAAGGAGCGCCCTGGGGACGGGCCAGCGCGTCCACGTGCCGCGCAGCCAGGCCTGGGCGCCACGACAGGCCCACCTGGGGAGCCCACCGGCATGCGCGACCACCATGTGTGCACGCGCGCGATCACCATCAAGGTCATCATCATCGCACCACCATCGCCGCTGCCATCATCTCACCACGACCCTCGATCATCATCACAGCTCCATGTTGCACACTCACGCACACAGCGCCACGATCACCCCTCGTCATTATCATCATCACTCTCACCTCATACTCATCAGCATCGTCATCATCATCACCACAACCACCACCACCACCACCATCAGCATCGTCATCACCATCACCATCACCATCACCATCACCATCGTCATCATCAACATCATCACCATCGCACACACATGCGCTCAGCTTAAGAAGTCTCAGGCGGGAGCCTCGTCTGTGAGTGAATTGCGAGGTGCGAGGAAGTCTCTGGTGGGGGGCCCCTTACTACGGAGCTCGCAGGTCATGTTATTAATCCGAGCGGGTCGTCGGGACTTTCTACTTGTCGTCACTTTGGGGCTCCTCAGTCCTGAATATGGCGGAGTCTCGAGTGGGAGCCTCGTTTGTGAGTGAATTGCGAGGAAGTCTCAGGCGGGGGGCCCTTTTTCACGGGGCCGGGAAGTCACGTTACTAATCCAAGCGGGTCGCCAGGACTTTCTATCTGTCGTCATTTTGGGGCTCCTCGGTCCTGAGCCTGGCGGAAGTCTCAGGCGGGAGCCCCCCTCGCTACGGGGCCCACAGCTCATGTTAGTAATCCGAGCGGGTCATCGGAGTTTTCTAGCTGTCTTCATTCTCGGGCTCCCCAGTCCTGAGTTTGCGGAAGTCTCCAGCGGGAGCCTCGTTTGTGAGCGACTTGCGAGGAAATCTCAAGACCCATGGGGCCCGCAAATCATGCCATTCATTCGAGCGTGTTGTCGGGACTTTCTAACTGTCGTCACTTTGGGGCTCGTCAGTCCTGAACATGGCGGCGGAAATCTCGAGCTGGAGCACCGTCTGTGAGTGAATCCCGAGGAAGGCTCAGGCGGGGGGCCCCTCCCCATGGGGCCCGCTGATCATGCTATTAATCCGAGCGGGTCATCGAAACCTTCTGACTGTCGTCATTTTGAGGCTCTTCAGTCTTGAATATGGCGGACGTCTCGAGTGAGAGCCTCTTTCCGATGGGGCCCG